AAGCCACCGGGTCCGGGACTCGAACTGCAGTTGGCTATATGGGAGCTCAGCGACACAGCCATTATGCTAACCTCTGGTCCCTAAGCAAGGGAATTCTGAAGCCTAAGATGGTACCTAAGTACCCACATCACTTTGTACAATGACCAGCTTAGGATAAAATGAGCTGGCCGTTTTGTGTGTGTGTCAAAGGGCACGTGCGTGTGCATAAAAGGAAGAAAGCACCCTCCTCTCCCAGCGGGGCCTAGTGAACGCAGCAGCGCCCCCTCCTCCAACTCGATTCTGGACATGGGTACAAGTGCCTGTGGGCTCAAACCCTGGGCAGCCGCGTGGGCTCTGGCTTCCTCTGCACACTCAGCTGCCCTGCCACAGGCCAGCCCTGAAGGTCGGCTCTGGATGCATTCCTTTGTGGCTCAGAAAGCAGACCAGGTGGAACCAGGTCCCCGGCCCCACACCTACCCGCATCCTCTTAATGCCTGCGCGGGTGACCTGCTGGCAGTCGTACAGCTCCAGGCGCTCCAGGCCACGGCAGTTCTCTAGGTGCCCCAGAGCCACATCGGTGATGAGGAGACAGTTGTCCAGCTCCAGGACCTGCAGCCGCTCATGGCCACAGGTGCTGTTGCTCAGGTGCAGGATCCCGTCATCGGTGATGAGCTCACAGTGGGACAAGCTCTGCAGCAGGGAGAGAGGAGCGGCTGTTTGCAGGAACCTCTCTTTCCAAGGTTCGAGGCCTAGGAGACGCAAGCCGGCCTGGGGAGTATCTCAGCTGCTTGCTGTGGTTTCAGTGTCCCCCAATAACCATGTGCTGGAATCCTTTTTTTTAAAGAGATGTTTGCTATAGGGTGTTTTGCATGTGCTCGCTGGAGACAGAAAACAAGAAATCGCGGTGCGATGTGACAGTACTGATTTTGGGGTAAATGGAAAAAGCTTCGGAAATAGTTTCATTATCTTCCTGTTAATTTTCCCCCTGTATTCGTGGTACATGTGCGCACAGGTGAGAGGGAAAAGCACCCTCCCCAGAGTCTGGTCACCTTACGTACGTGCCCTTTGTGTTTCAGGCTGGCTGGGCCAGGGATTCAACCACGGTTGTCATGTGGAGCCTGGCTTCTCTAGAGCAGCACGTTACACCAAGCGATGAAGCAAACTCAGATTAGTATTACGTATCCAAATGACATGTAATTATTTTAAGTTCTCAATATTAAGTTTCCAACCTGACAGTTTCTTCTGATGTATATCAAATATCATTTTACCCCACCATAAGGTTTTCAGATGTAAAAGGTAATAATGCCCAAGCATCTCAATTATGCATATGTCCCTTCAAATGAGTAAGTTCCAACTCCGTGCCAGCCCCTGTGTGTACGACGGTGAGTAAAAATACCTTTGTCTGCACTGCTGGAGGAGCCCAGATGGACAGCCTAGAAATGAAACCGCACTAACTAAAGTGAAACGAGCTGAGGTAAGTGCTCTGAGGAAATGTTACAGTGGGGACTGGCTTGAGAACACTTGCGTTCATGTGCGCAAGGCCCAGGGCTGGCAGGAGAACAAGGGCGAGCAGCAGGTCTGGGGGGTCAGCACACAGGTGAAAGGTAAGACCATACAAGGAGATTCAGGTGGAACTGGGAGAGGGGAAGGCCAGATCCCAGACTTGTGTAAGCCACAGAAAGGGACTTCAGGGTGATTCCAAGGTCATCCAGAAACATTTTAAAAAAAAGAGAGATCTTGGCTATAGGATGTGTGTGCGTGCTGGAGAGAGAGACAGAGAGACAAAAAGTGAGAAATCACTTCCTAGGAAGGATGGCCACACTGCAATCCTTTCTCCCCCATTCTCCTCTTGGGATTTTGGGCATGCATGTATCCACACCCGGTGTGAGTTTTAAGCCTTCGGGTCCAGGACTTGAACTGCAGTGGGCTACGTGGGAGTCCAGCCTATAACCATTACACCATCTGCTGGTCCCTTATTATTATTTAATTCACCAGCGAGAGAGAGAGAAAGTGAGAAAGCAAGTCACCAGGTCTGGGACTTGAACCACGGGCAGTCATGTGGGAGTCCAGCACCCCAACCACCATGCCATTTGCTGGCCCCATGGGAAAAAATAATTTTTTAAAAAAATTTTGAGAGATTTTTGCTATAGGGCATGTGTACATGCTAGAGAGACAGAGAGAGAGAAAGCGAGCAATCACCCTCAAGGGGATGGACACACTGCAATCCCTTCTCCATTCTTCATGGCCGGCGTGAGTTTGAAGCCGCCAGGTCTGGGATTGGAACTGAAGTCAGCCATGTGAGAGTCCAGCACCTTAGCCATTATGCCACCTGCTGGCCCCAACATTGTATTACTATTTTTTTTTAATTTCCCAGGGGCCAGCAGGTGGCATGGTGGTTAAGGCGCTTGATTCCCACCAGACCGACCGTGGTTTAAGTCGTGCCACGCATTTGTGCATGTCTGCCCAAAATTCCAGGGAGGAGAATGGAGGGAACAGGATTGCAACAGGGCCATCCTCCCTGAGGGGTGATTTCTCACTGTCCCTCTCCCCCTAGGCATGTGCCCTGTGGCAGATAAAAAAAAAAAAAACTAACTAAAAATTTAAAAAAAGAAATGTTATGTTTGTTTTTCAAAAAGATCGCCCGTATCAGCACATGCCCACCAGAGTGGCTAAAACGAATGAACAACGGATGCCGGCAAGGATCTGCTGCAGGGGAAGCCGGAGATTCCGGGCCAGGCACACCTGTGTTAACCAGAGACATATATTGACTAACGGCACTGAGCTAGAAATACCCCGCAGTAGTATAATGAGCAGACATCACGGTGTGCCCATTCTATAAAGTGATGAGAAGCAACCCCGTAACGGTGTGGGTAAATTTCAAAAACGTAACATTGCGTCATGAAACCAGACACAGGGTTCGCGTGTTGTTCCCTTCATATAATTTAAATCATGAAAAGCACAAAAACAGGCCCACTATGCTATTGCGAGTCACTGCTCTGGGGTTAGTGCCTGGAAGGGGCTTTCTGGGATAACGGTCAGGTGGGTCCTTCACGTGGATGGGTTCAGTTTATGGGAACGCACTCACGGATCTATGCAGACCAGTGATAATTGCCCTTTTCTGCATGTATATTCTATTTTGTAAAAAGTGAAAACTGAAAACGCCTGCTGATTTGGACCTAACAAGTTCTGTTGGAGGAGACAGAGATAAGTGGATGGGTGTGAGGTTTTCCTGCAAAATAAAGGAAAGAATCCGAAAGAATGGAACTGGATACATGGGAAGGCAGCTGGGACCACCCTGGCGGAGGGGAAGTGGGACGAGGGGAATTCTGTGAGGCTTTGATGCTTGAGACATTCTTCTTCTAGCTCTGTTTTAATTACATGGGATACATTTCCTTCCTACGGATCTAATCACTCCATGGTTCTACAAGAAATAGCATTTATGCAATCAATGGTGTTTGCTGTTTTCTAGCCTTCAGAATTGACGCATGAAGTTGGGTGTGGTGGTGTGTGCCTGTAATCCCCTCTACTCAGGAGGCTAAAGCCTAAGAGCATGCTCTGTCTACTCAGGAGGTCGAAAGTTCGAGGCCAGCCTGGACAACACAGCAAGGCTGTCTCTTAAGAAAAACAAAAAATCATAATGGATAAAGCCAAACAACTCTGCTATAGTTTTTCAGGAGGCTGTTTAAATTTGGTAAATCAAGAAACAGAATTTTGATTATTTATATAGTAAATTGCAAACAGGAAAAAAGTATGTATCTGTATATATTTAATTTTATTAACATACACATATTCACCTAGGTATGTGTGTATATACACACAGACTATAGGAAGAGGATGATTGAGGTAAGTGTGTGAATGCTAACTTTGTTTTAATACAGAGAATTGAGATTTTTTTTTTTTTGAGAGATTTTCACTGTAGGGCGCGTGCGCTCGCCAGACAGACAGAGAGAGAGACATAGAGACAGAAAGCGAGAAATCACCCCCCAGGGGGAATGGTCACGCCGCAATCCCTTCTCCTCCATTCTCCTCTCGGGATCTTGGGCACGCACGCACACACGCCCGGCGTGAGTTTTAAGCCACCGGGTCCGGGACACGAACCGCGGTCGACTACGTGGGAGTCCAGCGACATAGCCATTACGCTAACTGCTGGTTCCCGAGAAGTTATGTTAACACCATGAAAACTTATATACTGGCAGATGCAATTATTTATACAATTTCTTAAAAAATTGTCAGAGAGGGACCAGTAGTTAGCGTAATGGCTATGTCACTGAACTTCCCAAGTAGCCGACCACGGTTTGACTCCCAGACCCAGTGACTTAAACTCACGCCGGGTGCGTGTGCGTGCGTGCCCAAGATCCCGAGAGGAAAATGGAGGAGAAGGGATTGCGGCGTGGCCATCCCCCCCTGGGGGGTGATTTCTCACTTTCTATCTCTCTGTCTGTCTGGCGAGCACACGCACCTATAGCAAAAACCTCTCAAAAAAAATTTTTTTTCCTGTCAGAGAGCACATGTGCTCACAGGAGAAAAACAGAGAAAGAGGGACAGTGAGAAAGCACTCTCCAGGGGGGATGGTCACACCACAATCCCTTCTCTACTGCTCGCTCCTTTTGGGTTTTTGGGCACACATGCATACACACCTGGTGTGTTTATCAAACCACCAGATACAGGATTTTAACTGCACTGGTCAGCCACGTGGGATCCTGCCATCTTAACCACCAGGTGACCCTATATAAAATTAAAAAAAATTTTTTTTGAATTATTTAACTTTAGTTGTTTAATTTATTCATTTTAATTTGACTAGAGAGGGACAGAGTGAGAGAGAGGAAAAGTGAGAAAGCAAGACGCCAGGTTCAGGACTTGAACCGCTGTTGGCATTTGGGAGCCCAGAGCCCTAACCACAACACCACCTCTCAGCCCGCCTATGTAAAATCTGAAAATTTATTTAAGGAAAAACTGAGGGGCCCTTGACCTGTTCTCTTGAGTTCACAAGAAAATCTACTGCCAATATGGCTCACACAGCAGAGGGGCCCTGAATTTTACCTACGAAACAGCCAGTAGTCAAAGCTCTGTGCTCTGGGTCACTGCTGTGTATGTATCAATCCTGCAGAACAGATATTATTGTTATCACTTCATAGATGAGGACATTGCAGCTTAAAGAAGTCCAAACTTGCCTATTTATACCAGTTTGGGCTGCCCTTAAAGCCTTTTCCTCTATTTTTAAGCTAAGGAAGTTCATTTGTAACAGAGATGGGAGGCAGATCTAATGGTATTCAGATGTAGTTTTTTTGTTTTTTGTTTTTTGTTTTTCTTTTTTCACTCCCTTCTCCTTCCACTTCTGTTAGGCTCCTAGGGGTCTGTTAGTATTGAGACGTCTACGTATGTGTCTGTGTCCCACACCTTGGGTAGTGTTCCCCTAGAGAGACCAGGGTCTGAACAGAATTCAAGCTGAAATGTGAAAAAACTCAAGCCACTCGAATGTCAATTACAGCCAATCATTGCCTGAGCAATCCGGACATACCCTGGACCTTCCCCTGAGACCAATTCCAACACGTACCCTTTTCTCTCCCACTTGTCACTCTGAGAGTATGATGGTCTAGCACTGAGGGGGTGGGCCAACCTGCTTTGACCAAATTGCCTGACATTATGGATGGGGACAAGGAACTTTGGGAGGGAACTGCAGGGCTGACTGCAGGAGCTTCTCTCCTGTTCTCTCTTCTCCAAAGCAGCTTCTTATGGTGGAGCTCTGGCAAGGCCAGGGAACAGATGGCACTCTCCTAAGAAGAGCTATAATTCTTGGAGCCTGAGCCTCACAACTGTAAGGATGGCCTTCATCATGTACATGACAGTTAATGTGCCTGCTCCAAAACTAAGGCTGCTTTGTTCCCATCCCACTTTGTTCCAGAAGAACTTTAAGTGGCTTCCCTTAACAAAGCCTGTGAAGATGCTGGTGCTGGTGCTGGTGCTGGAGGAGGGAAGATTCTGTCTTTGTCTTCTTGGAGTTGACAGTCTAAATCACAATCCCAGGCTTCTCCCGAATTTCCCACTGAGAAAAGCTGCCTTGAATTTATGAAAAGAACTTTTAAGAGCTAAGGTTAGTAATGCGACTACTAAAAACAAGTGTACCTAAATACAGCTAAAAAATCAACAGATAAAATAGAATTTAAAAAAGTAAACTCAGTTAACCCAAAAAGATAGAAAAGGAAGAACACAGAAACAGAAAACAAAAAAATAAAATGGTGGACCTAAATCCAACTGCATCAATATTACATTAAACATAAATGGCTAAATATTCCAATTAAAAGGTAGAGATTTCTAGGCTAGATAAAAAGTAAGGTAACTATATGCTGCCTCTAATAAACACTACATAAAATTTTTTTGCTACAAGGTACATTAGCTCACTGAAGAGAGAGAGAGAGTGAGAAAGCAACCCCCAGGGGGGATCTTGTAATCCCTTCTTCTCCATTCTTTTCTTAGGATTTTGGGCATGAATGCGTAAGTGCCCAGCATGTTTTTCAAGCCACTGGTCTTGGACTCGAACTGTGCAGTCAGTCAGGTGGGATCCAGCTGCCTCAGCCTCCATGCCAGCAGCTGTCCCAGCTAGCCTTTCTTAATGGTGGCCATGAAGCTTTGGTCCCTACCTCTCATTCAGCCCCATCACCTCTCCTCTTCCTTCATGGTAAAACCTAGCCAGGGCTTTTGTTGATCTACTTAGGAACACAGGGTCTTTCTTCTGTGTAAAACACTCTCCAGGGATAGCTCTGTACCCGAGAATGAGATTTAAAAAGGGTGACAGCTTTGCTAAGGGAGGAAAGTAAAATTTGAGGATTAGGGACAGATTTAATACCTGATGACAGAATTTAGACTGAGTGGTGTAGGGGGAGGGGACAAGATGGTGGAATCTATGAGTTATATGTTATATTTTTGTTGTGTTTGAGTACTCAGAAGGGGTGACTAGGAAAGGAGGGGGCTGCTGGTCAGACAGTGAGGTATGAAACTGAGATATAAGCAGTGTACACTCTATTTTATACTTTATTATTAGAGGGTACATGTGTGCCAGAGAGAGGGAGAAAGCACCCTCCCACCATGGGGCATGGTCACGCCACAATCCTCCACGTCTCTACCCCCTCAGGATTCTGGGCACACATGTACACACACCCAGTATGTTTTTCAAGTCACTGGGGATGGCATTTGAACTGAGTTGGCCACGTGAGATCCAGCTCCCCTAACCACTAGACCATGGGGCCACCCTACATATTTATTTTCAAAGCTGTTAAATGTTTCCATTTTAAATTGGAAAAAATGGTGATTTAAACTACTGCCAATTTGTTCCCCATGGAGCAGTGAGCAGCTGCTTTATAAGAAGGCTCTCTGTTACTGCCTACTGCCATGAGTGTGCCGTCTCCCGGCAGAGGAGCCACCCAAGGAGGCTGGTCTCTCAGTGTGTTAATAAATCATGTTGAAAAAGAAAACACTGTAAGAATGAGTAAAGTAATATATTTCTCTCTTGGTTGTATTCCTTATTCTTTACCAGACTGCTAAAATTCCACTTGATAGCTTCTGGGACCTATGAGTTATATAATACAATGATTATTAAAAATTCAAAACCACCTGGATCTGGTACTATGAAGAACCCAGCATCCCTATAATCAAAAGAACCTGCCGATGACTCTGCTAAAAAGATAAGAAACAGCCTCCTCTGAACAAACTCCATGACTCTACAGTCGTCCACGTTCTACACCTTTCATTCTAAATCTGAGACTCTGTTTTCAAATGCGAAATCTTTGACTTGGTTGAAAAAATTTTAAAAACATGCTCAGTTTTCCCTTCTGAATTTCTTTTCTGTGTGAGGACAAGGCCCTGCTCCCAGGAGGCTCCCAGAGGATGCTGGGACCATGCTATATACGTATACACTTGCCTCACCCTGGGTAAGGAAGAGCCTGAGAACTGGAATGTTAGGGACTGAGGTGCAATAGTCACCTGGCTTCGGGCTGGTGGTCACTTCCCTCATTTCTTCCTGCTTGCAGATCTTTAACAAAAAATAAAAACCACATTTCAAAATTCAAAATGAAGTTTTCCCCCCAATACCACTGATCCCTGTAGGCTGAGGGAGAATTCCGGCTATGGACCTCCATAAAGCTTGGGCCTGGGGCTGCCATGGCAGCACTGCTGGATCTTCCCTTCACAATGCGAGGTCACTGCTTCAGAGGGGGAACTGGGCCGCTCTAGTGGGCCACCTGCCCTGGCATGAGGCCTGCAGCGAGAACTCGTGCGCTTGATACATGGCACGCTCAGAGACAGAGGCCTTGTTGGCTGGCCCTCCTGCGTTCTCCATGTGCTGCTGTTAGGAGTCAGACTGAGCTGTCTACACGTCCACACTGTGGGGCTGCCGCAGTAAAAATAAACACACTTTCATGTGTCCTCAGCTTGGCTAGGGGTGACGGAGGTGCTGTTACTCCTGTGCATTATCAAAGTGGGCACTGCCTCGTGTATCCCTTAAGGAGCCAGAGCAGACATTTCTCCGGAATTTCAGAGACAGATAAAGTTGGCCTCTCCTGAAATGAATTACCTCCTTACTCCCGAATGCCTAGCCCCTGGTGTCCTCAGAGAGCATCTGTGGAGTCAATCAGCCGGACATGGGGCAGGTGTGCTTCTGTCCGCCTCCCATTTCTTTCATGGCTATTAGAATTTTGAAACTAAGTTGATCTCAATTTCAACTTGTGCCCAGTGTGAGTTTAAACCACTGGGTCCAGGACTTGAACCACAGTCGACTACATGGGAGTTCAGCGACATAGCCATTACGCTAACTGCTGGTCCCCCTGCTAATAATTCTTCATGTTCTGTTTTTGTTTTTCTTGGAGGGGGCTCTCACCTCAGACTTCTGTTTTTATTACAGCTTATCTTTCACTCTAAATCCCCATTCTGGAAGTAGCTTGTATAAACATAGGGAACAAGATAGAAAATCTTCAGAAACCAGAAACCCCTCTGGGAAGAACACGATTGATCTGGAAGACATTCCCTGACAGTTGCTGGGTGGACCCTGCACCCAGGAAGAGGTAGAAGACAAGATGGATTTAGGGAGCTAGTGAAGGCCTCCTCAGGCCTCTGGTGTCTGCTGTGAGAACATTTCTCGTGAAAACTGATGAAGGTACGCAAGGCCCAGGCCAGGGTGTCGGGCTCCCCCAGCCTATGAGGCTCAGAGGAGGCAATGCCGTTGGGGGAGAAACTCCATTCTGAGTTTTGGAATGGCTTTTACTTTTTACTAAAAGATCTGCAAGCAGGAGGAAACAAGGGAAATGACCACTAGCCTGAAGCCAGGTGATGACTGTACCTCAGACCTGGGGCCAGGAGAGAGGTGTGAGGCCAGAGCAGGCCGTACGCCTCGGGCTGTGGGCTTTCTCCTCGTCTCTGAGAAGCTGAAGGACCCGGAGACAAGCAGGTGGGAGGATCAAAGGAGAAGGCATGTCTGAGTCACAGGCTCTGTCAATTATAAAGCAGATCGGAACCCACTGGGGGGTACGGGCATCACAGAACGACAGAATTACCTGCAACGTGGAGACGGAGCAGTTTACTGGAGTCTGGACGCAGCTAGGTTCCCAAATCATCTCTGAAATCTGCCCTAACTGCTTCCAAAAGCCCCAGAGGAGCCCGGTGCCCAGTAGCACTTGTGCTGAGGGACGTGTCCAGAAAGGGTGTGGAAACATGGAAAAGTCGCGGGGAGAGGACGCGAGGCCTGTCGGGGCCTGGTGACATCGCAGACTGCTAGCCCCTGAGGACGGAGCAGGTTTCAAGTCGACAGAGGGCAAAGCTGGCTTTAGGAAAACCGAGGGACGCACAGACGGGGTGGAGGTCCAAAGGTCCAGGGCCTCGGGGCAGCTGGATAACTTGAGGCAAGTCCTAACGACTCTGAGCTGCTTCTTCACTGATAAACGGAGCGTCACCCGCACCCGTGTCACAGGTGGGCCGGGTTCCCATCCGTGGGCTCACTAGGGGGCTGCGCCTCCTTCCTGCTCCAGGCTCCTGGCAAACGGCCAGAGGTCAATCACGCAGGCAGTGACAGCCGGCCGAGTGTCAGTGCCTCTTCTCGCTGCTCATTTGCAGCGCCGTTTCCACCACTCTTCCACCCCCAGGTTTACATGCAAGTGATACGAAATGCACGTGCGACACCAGAACGACCTCTGTCCTGGCAGAGCATCATGTCCTACGCGCCGTCACTCCACCTGACCTGAACACGGTGGGTCCCGTTAGGTTCCCATCCTACGATGACATGGTGATAGCCAGATACCCCACCTCCCGAGCTGGCCCAGCCAACAGAGCTTGGAAACCCAGAAAGATGGGCCTTCACAAGGGGAACCCAGGCAGGCCCCGCTGTGGAGGAGGGTTCTTTCGTCCCTGAGGGCAGGTGGACGTCACGGAAAACCCGCACTCACCAGGGCTTGCAGTTTGGGGCAGTGAATGGAGAGCTGGGTGAGCGTGCTGTCGGTTATCTGGAGAGAGACGCGGAGTCAGTGTGGCCTCCATGCCAGGACATTATACCTAAGCCTGGCTTCTCGTGAGCGTGAGGATCCCTTGGACGGTGCCCGCCTCTCCTCACCAGCAGCCCAACTCTGCCCACTCCTGGAGATTCTAGACATCCCGGGGGCTCTCCCCTGGTGCCCAGACGGGCCTAGGGGCAGGGGCCAAAGAGGAAGTGGACAAGGAGAGTTCCCCAGGATTCCCCTCCCTGGAATCACCCCATCACTGGGCATGCCCCCTTATTTCTCCAAGTCCTCTGAAAAACAGAAGGACTCCCCCCCTCACCCCGGGCAGCTTTTCAGTGTTTGGCCTAAGATGGAGCTATTTTCAACTTGGTTACCCTTTGGCCTGGTGGCCAGGACCAGCTGAACGCTGACACATCCCATGGCCATGGCCCCCCTGGGTTCCCAAGCCCTGCCACCTATACAGGGCAAGGACAGGGGCTGGGACGGGGAGGGGATGAGACACAGATGGGTCTGTGGCTACAGGGGGTGACCCAGCGGAGACGAAGCAGTGGGGCAGCCGGAGGGCGGGGGAGGCCACTCACCAGGATGCACTCTTCCAGATCCATCTTCTCCAGGTCGTGGCAATTCTGCAAGAGTGCGTAAGACACGCCCCGAGCGTGGGTCAGGGGCACGGGAGACACGGGTGGCTTGCCCTGTCCCTCCCCGGATGGCCCAGTGTCCTTGTTCTCTTCCAGTAAGGAGTGTGCCCCGTTCCTAAAGTGACCCCGGGAACCAGCACTTCTGAGCAGGTGCCCTGGGCTGCCTTTCCTACTCTCACCCGGAAAGAGTCACCTGCACCTTCTCACTCACTCAGATGTCAGTGGGGACATTTCTGTCCACAGACCAGGCTCTGTGAGGCACGGGGATGGACAGGCATGCAGGCACGCAGAGGGGGCTAAGGGCTGGGGTGGGAGCACGTGTCTCAGCACCCTCAGGACAGAGATCCTGGCGCAGGTACAGGGGCGCCCCCTGGTGCTCAGTGCAGGGCAATTTGGGAGACAGCGTGGGCCAGGCAGGGGAGACGCTGTTCAGAGGCCCAGTGGGAGTCTCCATGCAGGGGGCGCATCTTCTGCCAGGGAGGAGGCTCCTCAGGGTGGTCATGCCTGACAGGGACAGTGAGATCTAGGCCCTTTACAGACCTCCCTGGATTTCGGGCTAACTGTAAAAAATAATAATAATAATAATACCCTAGGGGTCATAGCCTGCTTCATGCCTGTCTTTTCTGAAGGTAATTTTTTGCACACCCTAAGAACACCCCATGTCACTCTGAATTCGGGAGGTAAATGACCGCTGAATTCTGCTTTATTTCTTTCTTTTTAAAGTATGCCTTACCCGAGCTAAAAGTGTAAAGCCCGCGTCGGTCAAATGTGAGCACCGGGCAGCCTCTAAGATTCTAGGACGCGAGCATGCGGGGAGAGAACAGTACCAGTGGTTAACAATGACAACATGCACTGTTCGAAGCACACTTGTGAGTCTGTTCTGCTCACTGGCACGCTTTCACTTCTGGTCACATCCCTAGAGGGTAAAAGCAGAAACACTTCCTACTGAACAGACAAGGAGAATGTGGCTTTGGGAGGGCTGTCACCTGCCCGAAATCCCGTCCCAAACTCAGATAGTAAATGCAAGAATCTTCCCAGCATGCAACATATTCTTAAGTATTATTCTTTTTTAAAAAAACAATTATTATTTTTAATTTTTTCTTTATTATTATTATTATTTTTTAATTTGACCAGAGACAGATAGAGAGGGAAAGTGAGAAAGCAAGCTACTAGGTCTGGGATGCAAACCATGGTCAGCCATGTGGGAGTCCAGCACCTTAACCACCACGCCACCTGCTGGCCCCTATTCTTAAATATTGTTCTAGTAGCTGATAACCTTTCAAACACAATTAAAATGAACTTTATCCACAAAAACATCTTGAAAAATACTGAATTTACTGAAATTCCAAGTTACCCAAAAGGAAATTTTAGAAATGTATGGGCAATGAAAAACATAAGCTAATTCTTAATTACCCTTGCTTCAGAAGAAGGGATGCAAGAATAATATTTCTAAGTTAGATTACTCCCTTACAGCAATATTTTTAACCCTCTTTCTGATCAGTTTTGGTCACTAGACTCCTTTTACTACACAGAAATGGTAACTTTATCTAGGATCTTTTCTAATATGACAGAAAAATGGGTACAAGCTGGAACTAGACAATTCTTAAAATATACGTAACTGTAGGTGTGAGAAAGGGATCGATTTCATGGCAAAGAATATAAAAACAAGTATCTCTTTTTCTGCCTCTGTTATAGTGGTCAAGATTGCTAATTCTGGAGTAAACCTCTTAGTTCAAATTCCAGTCTGACTTCTTACTATCGCGTGACCCATGACTACCTCTGAAAACGTTTATGAAAGTCCTAGAGAAATAGTAACGAATTAGGATAAAACAATTTAAAGAACTGACACAGGGAAAACCTAAAAAGTTACCACGTAACAATGAACAGGCTGGGGGCTGACAGGTGGCATGGTGGTTAAGGCGCTGGTCATGGCCGACCATGGTTCGAGTCCTGGTCCTGGTGGCTTGCTTTCTCACCCCACCCCCACCCCTTTCTCTCTCTCATACTCTGTCCTTCTCTGGTCAAATTAAAAAATAAAAAATAAATAAAGTTAAATAAAATAATTATGAACAGGCTCTACTGTGAAAAAACAAAACAAAGTTGTCTTCCTTCTGGGAAAAAGGATAAATCAGGTGATTATGCTCTCACCCCAACCCCTGGTCGACTGGCAGCAGTTTCAGGGAGACTGACAATCACTGCTCGCTGCGACATCACTCTGATGCTCACAGGCAAATTAGGTGGGCAGATGTGTGAAATTCGCCCAATACAAAGGCTGGATTCACAGAGTAGATGCTTTGTATTCTCCGGTATGCCCCTCACTAGAACGGATTACACACAATCCCACCCCAATCCACCCAGCAAAGGCCAACAACACAACCAGTGTCTCTCCACACCACCACCTGCCCCACCTGCTGGCAAGTCCTTCCCCTCCTGCAGGAAGCCCTCTGGGTCAGCCCGGCCAAGCTCTGAGCTGCAAAGCAAAAAGCGTGGCGTACTCACTGCAGTCTCGGGCAGTTCAGACCCAGGGCTGTGAGAGAGGCATCCGTGAGGTTGCTGCACCCTGACAGGCAGAGGGCCTGCAGCCGGTGGCAGCCCCTGCATATCTGCACCACGCCTTCGTCTGTGATGCGCTGGGGAGAGACAATCGGAGGCCACCGTCAGCGCTGAAATGGGACCTACTGCTGCTCCATTAGTTTCAGTTGACAATGGCTAGATTTAGAGTAATAACTTAATAAGGAGTAGAGGGCAGACATACTCTTGTGTTATCTCTACACGGCTTTGAAATACCCTAGCATTAATAATGGAGAGTAAAAGATTAAAATTACACTTCCTCATCCCGAGTCAACAAAATAAACACAGTTTTTTATCTTTTTATTCATAGACTCATAATAAAAAATTATATTGAATGGGGACCAGCAGCTGGCATAATAGCTATGTCACTGGACTCCCATGTAGTCAACCGCAGTTTGAGTCCCTGGTCTAGTGGCTCAAACTCATGCCAGGCACGTGTGCGTGTGTGCCCAAGATCCCAAGAGGAGAGTGGAGGAGAGCGGATTGTGGCATGGTCATCTCCCTGGGGGGTGATTTCTCACATTCTGTCTCTCTGTCTTTCTGGCAAGCACGTATTCCCTATAGCACAAACCTCTCAAAAAGAAAAATTATATTGAATGAAGAGTTCATGAGACTTGTCTTAAGTAACATACATTTGGCTGAATTTCTACAGATTAATGTTTTATATGTTTACTAAATAAATCATACATATATATATTTCTTCAAATGTTTTAGAGAAGAGGAAAATTATTTACTAAGTTTTTAATAAATGCCTCAGAACACTATGAATTTAACCAGAACGATTCAAAATACTGGGCCAGCTCCAGCGGCCTGGTGGTTAAGGTGGCCAGATCTCATAATACCTACCACAGGGTTTGAGTCCTGGAACGTGTGTGTGTGTGCATGCCCAGAATCCCAACAGGATGGAGAAATGGAGAAGTGATTGTGGCATCACCATGTCCCACGGG